GGGCCAGTATATGGCTCATAATTTCTTCTCCTAGCTTTAATGAGACATAATTGGTATGAAAATTTGTGGTCAAATTTTGAAAATGTTTCATATTCTTGAGAAAAAATATATTTATCCTTGGTACATTGGTGCAGTGTTCCATACAGTTATCAGTTAGATTGCTTGCTAATTACATTGTTCAAAATTGTATCTATAATTTTTACCCTAATTGTCCTATTAATTAGTGAAAGAGGTGTCAAGTCAACTGTGGATTTTATATTTCTTCTGTTTGAATATATCTGCCAACTCTTAAGCTGTTATTAGGTAGACTAGAGGCCCGGTGCACAAAATCTGTGCAAGGGCCTTGGCCCCTGCTGCCATAGCAGCTGCCTTTGCCTCAACCCCTGCCCACAGCTTCGGTCACAGGCCTCTGCTGCCTCTGCCTTGGCCCCCGCCTACCACAGCTTTGTCCAGAAGGAAGGATGTCCAGGACATCCGGTCTAATTAGCATATTATGCTTTTATTATTATAGATACTAACTTAAAATTATGTCTTCCCACTGTTTTTCTTTTCTGAACCTTTTATTTTAATGATTCCCTTTGTCTCTAGGAATGGTTTGTGCCTCAAAGTCTCTATTTCATCTAATATTAGTAGAGCTACATACCCATTTTCAGATACTATTTGCTTTGTGTATTTTTTTTTAAGGCAAGTCTTTTGTATGCAGCATCTGGTGGGGTTTTGTACTTCTGTCCTGTTATGGTCAGAATGTTTGTATTCCCCCATCATATGTTGGAATCCTAATGCACAGTGTGATGGTGTTAGAAAGTGAGGCCTTTCAGAAGAGGTGAGGTCATGAGGGTAGAATCCTTATGAATGGGATTAGTGCTCTTATAAGACCCCACAGAACACCTCAGCCCTTTCCACCATGTGAGGATACAATTAGAAATCTGAAAGGTGGAAAAGAGCCCTTATCCAACCATGCTGATCTTCAACGACTCTGATCATGGGCTTCCTCCCAGCCTCTAGAACTGTGAGAAACACATTGTTTATTGTTTCTAAGCCACCCAGTCTGTGGTATTTTGGTAGAGCAGACTAACAGACTAAGATATTGACTAACAATCTTCATCATTTAATGAAATTAGAGTATAAATACTGATATGTTTGGCTTAAGATCTACCATCTTTTTGGCTTTTTCCTTTGTCCCACCCATTTTTTCTTTTACTTGCTTTATTTTTAAAAATCCATTTTTAATCTACTAGTATTGAAATTATATATCCTATTTTATTATTTCCCTGGACTTTACAATATGCATGAGATTAACCAAAACCTTTACCCTTATATAACACAATCCTTCGATCCTTTTTATTTTGACTTATATGCTACTATTGTCTGGTATTCTAAGTCTCTTATTTTCACAACTCCAGATTTTTATCGTTTTATATAAAATGTTCATTTACCTTTGCCAACATATTCCTTATTCTCTTTGCTCCTATCTTTTTATATCTCAGACCCCATCTGGGATCATTGTCCTTCTGTATTACAATGGATTCTTTAGAATTTTCTTTATTGTGGATAACAAAACAATTTGTCTTAAAATGTGTTTATTTGTATCCTCATTATTGAAATATACTTTCACTAGGTATAAAAAATAAAATTCTAGGTTGACATTATTTCCTATCTTTGTGCTGATGTTTTCACTCCACTCTTTTGGCTCCCATTGTTGCTGAGAAGTCTATTCTTCCTTTGAAGGGATTTTGTGTGTGTTTAGCTGTTAATTTTTTTCTCTTTGATTTTCTGCAGTTATGATGTGTGTAGGTGTGACTTTCATCAAGTTATCCTCCTTTGTATTCTTTGGGCTTTTATATCTGTAGGCTTGTATTTTTCATCAGTTCTGGAAAATTCTCAGCCCCATTCTCTTTGCCCCTTTTCTTGTGTCCTTGCCTTCTGAGAGTATGATTAAACACACATCAAACTTCTTTTCTATCTCCATGCTGCATTCTGGACCATTTCTTCACCAATATCTTTCATGTTTTCACCAATTCTTTTGTTCCTGTCACAAACTGTTACCAAATACATCTTCAAATATTTTAAGGACAGTTCCTCCCCTGACCCCAATGTAACTAATAATTCAATATGTGAAGTCTATGTATGTCCTTTTCTGCTGGCTTTCAGTCATGTTGCCTTTTTTCCTTATGTGCCTGATTATCTTTATTAATTGTCCCTAAAAAAATATCTATAAGGGTTACTTGAGGTCAAAATTGAAGGAGTCTTCTTCCAAAGTTTTCTGTTGCTTCTACCAGGTGTGTTTATCTAGTAGGGTTGGCCAATGACCACAGGGCATCAGGGATGTTTTTTCCCTTACTTTTTCTTCTCTTGCTTTGCTTAGTAATAGCACTGCTATCTGTGGGAAACTGATATAGGGTTAAGCCTCAGACTGGCCTGCTGGCAAAGTCACAAACAAATCCTAGCTTAAAGGGCACAGTCCTCTTAGCATAATTAGGCTTGACCTTATAACACTCCCTAGATCTTATCTGGGAAAGCTAATGGGATGAGGAAGTGCAGGAAGTGTAACCATGGTCAAAACAAGTGAAACTCACAAGAACTGTGTAACTATGGTAACCACTACCTTGTTTACCTCTCACTATAAAAGCTTGGTGAGGCCTGAGCACAGTGGAAGTCCTTCCTCTTGAGTTGGACTTGCTCGCCTGGTCCCCCATATTCCCAAATTATCTTGTGTCTTTTCTATTTCATTTGTGTGCGGCTCCACTTCCAGACCCGAACCCTGAACCACGCAGGACGTGGAGGGAAACACTTACGACAGCTATCTCTACAGTCCCATGGGCCTGGGGATGGGTTTAGACCTGGTTTACCTTATCCTGAGGATAAAGCCTTTTGGGAAGCCAGTTTACCTTAGGAAAGGTCTCCTGTAAGATTCATCACCTCAGGTGGACCTGGCCCTGACCTTCTGTCTCTCCCTGTGACTGAAGTGGTGCTCAACTGTGCAGCATCAGTAAACAGTTTAGAGCATAAGCTGCTCTGGAGTTCCCCTCTCTGATGACCGGATCCCATTTTCAAACTGCCCTGCTTATTTAAACTACATTGTCTTCTCACTCTCGATGCTCTTGATGCAGAAGGCATCCCAACTACATTTTAGTCTTTTTTGGTTTAGGTGGGAAGTTAACCCAAATAACCTGGCCCATCTTTACCAGAAAGCACTGCCCCACCTTTTTAAAGTTGTTTTTCTTTTCCAGACTTTGAGGTTTTCCAGCCCAGATTTTTAGATTTATATCCTTTATTTCTATCATTTTAGTGCTCGCCCATGACAATTTATCATAATTAATGTCATAAAATCTACATTTAAACAGCATTTTGATCCTCTTCCATGCAAATCTTCCATCTCCCAATTTACCTACTATTGTCCAAGATCTCCATTCTATTTTAAGCCTTGAATTAGACAGGTCTTTTTAGACACTGCTTTTTTTAAGCGTTTTGATTTACCTACATATGTTGGAAATTTTACTTTTCTTCTCGCATATCAGAAGTTTTCTCTGAAAAGAGGTGGGGGATGGTGGTCCCTAAACCAGCTCAAGTCCTGAGGGTCTGAACAGATGCAGTCAACCACCTCTGCACCAGTCTGCCTGGAACAGGTAGAGACCCAAAGACCCCTCCTTGTCTGGATCATTCTGAGCTGCACGTATCTGTCCTTAGATAGGCTCAAGACCAAGAGGCCCCAGGACCCACTTCTTGTGCATGAGTCAGTGGAGGTTCTCGTAGTAATGTGTCCCAGTGCTCAGTAGGCAAGGGCTCTCAAAATTCCCATCTGAGTGGTTACTCTCCTGAAAGTAGGCAGTGCATTATGGGGGCCTCAAGCCACTGGCACACTGACCGCCCTGGCTACACAGAAACCTCAGGTAACCCAGTCATCTAAAGCCATACTGGTTTTATCTTCAGTAAATGAAGATGAACCGGTGACTCCTAAAATTGATACTCCATGGACTCCCTCCTTTTTGTCCACTGGGCAAGCCCTGCTAGAGACTGGCCACTCTGAAGGATGTGTGAGCTTTGATGCCTTTCATCAGTCCAACCCATTTCCCAATCCTCCCTCTTAATAAAAAAATAAACTGTCTGGCCCAAATACCACTGTTACCTTTTCTTCCTGACCAATAATGATGCTCACTTTCCTCTGAGCACTGCATTTTTGTTCAGCATCCATTGGGGTAGCTTTACTTATGGACTTTCTCTCTTATATATCCTTTATTTACTCCTCCTGCCTAGTGCCCAGGACAGTGGACTGTGCCTAGCACATCCTCAACAAGAATTTGCTGAATATATTAACCCAAGTCTATGGAGAGAATCATGTTTGCCAGTGCTGCATGTGGAGAGGACAGAGGAAGTGTGGTAGTGACATTCCAAAGTGGGAGTTGAATGACAGAAATACATTATCTATCCCTTTCCTAGTTCCATCTCTACCCTCTCTGTCTAAATTTACTGATGAAGGCTTGGAGACAAAGTGAAAAAATTATACTCCTAGAGAGAGGAATGTAAACTTTGTGGCAAGATACACGAAGTCCTAGAGAGAGCAGGGACACTATCTGGCAAGCGATTCTTCTCTTGTAAAAGAGTGAATTTTGGAACCAGAGAGACCTGACAGGGAACTCAGCCTCTACAGACTGGACCCACCCAGACTATTCTTGGACAGGTTACTTAACTCTCAGAAGATTCTCATTTCATCCTTTGAGTTACCTAGTTAACAGCTTTATACAAAGTTAATATTTTGTTAAATTTTATCAGTTCCTAACAGAACTGTTTGTGTGGTGACTACCATTAAGAGCTTGCCCATTCCCAGGAGTTATGATTCAGCACCAGTATGTGAGGTTCAATCCATGTTGCACTTCTCCTGGTGGAGGTACCACCTCACTTCTATTGAGACCTGAGCTGCTAGCCCTGGGGGATGAGCCCCTGCTGCCCTCCGAGGTTTGTATCTGGCATAACGTACCCCACAAAGATGTGACACAAACGGCTTTCCCTGCATACTGCTCCATCTCAAGTCCAGGCACAGCCTGTTCACTTTTGAGGGATTTCTTTATTGGAGTTCCACCTTACCTTGCCACAATTATCAGTCTCTTCATGGCCAAGAGAGAGTAAGCCCTGAACAACATATTCATAATATTTTACAAAAGACAATACACACATGTAGTGCATAAAAGCTTTACAATAACAGGCCAACACAATCATTTTACAAGATTAAGAAGCATGAATTTCCTATGCCCTGATTATTGGTACTTAATTTTTTCATTTCTACAATAAAATGCTCTCCTTCTCAGCATTCCTATTCATAGGAATCCCTGAATCAATTCTTTTTGTGCAAATTCATAATGATGTGTTCCGTTAGTACCTGAATGTGCTGTATTTCTCTCCATGGCACAACCTTTTATTTGTAGGTTTTCACTCATTACACATTTATTATTCATTGAGGGGTTTTATTTGAATTTTAAAAAAACTTTCACCCACTCAACTAGTGTATCACATTATAATAGCATAATCCAATCAACCTGTCTTTTTTTTAAAAGAGGTTCTCTCTTATCTTACACTCTTTACTTTCCCCACAAAATTCAAATTTTATTTCAGAATTTGTCATCACCTCCTTCCCAAACCATTCAATTATATTCTTTTTATCCCATGATCACTATTAAATAAATTTATATTCCCTGAAGCCTATCTCTCCCTGAATTTGCCTGTTGGAGGACCTTCTTGGGATTTTTCCACTGACCAATCTATAATTGGGACTCAAAGCTATACCTGAATGTCCCACACTTAGATTCACAGAACTTACCTAAATATGAACTTTCTAATGGTGACTGTGTGACTTCTAAATGAAACCCTTTTCTCATTCATATATTTCCTTGTCTTTCCAGAAATCTCTGCTTATTTTGAAGGTTTTATTTTAACATTCTATCATTTTGATAGGTTTTATCCCCAGTATGAAACATAGGGCTCAACTACCTTGACATTGGAGGCTTCCTTGCTGGCTATGACTGAAGCATAGAAAAGATCATGGTTTTGTTTATACCATGTAAATTATAAGCCATGAACAAGGACCTCAGATATTCTTACATTCACAGGATTGTTCTCCCATTTGAGTTCTTTGAGACTCAGTAAGCTTTGCCTCCTACAGAGACAAGCTCATCCTGGTCCCATCCAGAACATTCCCACCCTCATGAGTTCTCTTTTGTGATGTGCCACTGTAACTTCCCACATTTGGCACATTTAAAGATTCCTCCCCTGCATGGATTCTTTTATGCTTGGTGAGATCTGATCTGATATTAAAAGCCTTCCCACACTCACTACACTTGAATGGCTTCTTCCCAGTGTGGATCCTTTTGTGTTGGTCAAGAACAGATCTATAATTAAAGGATTTCCCACACTCACAATTATAGGGCTGCTGCCCACGATGGATGCTTTTATGGTTGATAAGACTCGAGTGTGAGATGTAGGCCTTCCCACACTCATCACATCCATAGGGTTTCTCGCCCGTGTGGATCCTTTTATGCACTGTGAGGCCTGAGCTGTTCCGGAATGCCTTTCCACAACCATCACATACATAGGGCTTCTCCCCTGTGTGGATCCTCTTGTGTTGAGAAAGAAGTGAGCTGTAACTGAAAGATTTCCCACACTCGACACATTTGAAGGGTTTCTCCCCAAGATGAACTCTTTTATGGCTTATAAGAGTTCTGCTTGAGAAAAAAGCTTTTCCACATTCATCACATGTATAGGGTGTCTTGCCAGGGTGGGTACTTTTATGGTTAATAAGGCTTGAGTGTGAGATGTAGGCTTTTCCACACACATCACATTCATAGGGTTTCTCCCCAGTATGAATTCTTTTATGCACCTTAAGGCTTGAGTTGTTTCTGAAGACCTTCTCACACCTGTCGCATTCATAGGGCTTTTCTCTAGTGTGAACTCTTTTGTGTTGAGAAAGGAGTGAGGTGTAATTAAAAGATTTCTCACACACATCACATTTGTAGGGCTTCTCCCCAAGATGAATTTTTTTGTGGTTTATAAGGGTTCGGTATGTGATAAAGGCCTTTTCACACTCCTCACACTTATAGGGCTTTTCCCCAGGGTGTACACTTTTATGATTTATAAGGCTTGAGAGCGAGATGTAGGCTTTCCCACATTCTTCACATTTGTAAGGTCTCTCCCCAGTATGGATTCGTTTATGTACTTTAAGACCTGAATTATTTCTGAAGGCTTTTCCACACTCATCACACCCAAAAGGTTTCTCCCTCGTATGAATCCTTTTATGCTGTTCAAGGGCAGAGCTATAATTGAAAGATTTCTCACAATAGCTACATTTATAGGGCTTCTCCCCAAGATGGATTCCTTTGTGGTTTTTAAGGCTAGAACGTGAGATATAGGCTTTCCCACACACATCACACTTGTATGGTTTTTCCCCAGTGTGGAGCCTCCTGTGGACTTTGAGACCTGAATTGTTTCTGAAGGTTTTGCCACACACATCACATACATAAGGTCTCTCTCCAGTGTGAATAGTCTTATGTTGAAGAAGAAGTGAGTTATAGCTGAAAGATTTTCCACACTCCTTACATTCATGAGCTTTCTTCCCAGGGTGAATGCTTTTATGGACTGCAAGGCCTGAGCTATAGCTGAACGCTTTGCCACAGACATCACACTTGTAAGGTTTCTCTCCCGTGTGGATTCTTTTATGTACAATAAGGCCTGAGCTATTCCTGAAGGCCTTCCCACATTCATCACATTCATAAGGTTTTTCTCCAGTGTGGATGACTTTATGCTGAATGAGGAGAGAGCTATAATTAAATGATTTCTCACACTCATCACATTTGTAAGGTTTATCTCCAAAGTGGATGCTTTTATGGTTTAGGAGTGTTCTGCAAGTAATGAAGGCCTTCCCACACTCATCACATTCATAGGGCTTTTCACCTGTGTGGATCCTTTTGTGAACCCTAAGGCCAGAGCTATTACTAAAAGTTTTCCCACAGATATCGCATTCATAAGGCTTCTCCCCTGTGTGGATCCTTTTGTGGACTCTGAGACCAGAGCTGTTCCTGAAGGCTTTTCCACACTCACCACATTCATAGGGCTTCTCCCCAGTGTGGATCCTCTTATGCTGGTCTAAAACAGAGCTATAGTTGAAAGATTTTCCACACTCATCACATTTACAGTTCTTCTCCCCAGAATGGGTGCTTTTATGGTTTATAAGGCTGGAATAGGACATGTAGGCTTTCCCACATTCCTCACACTTATACGGCTTCTCCCCAGTATGGATCCGCTTGTGGACTCGAAGGCTCGAACTGCTCCGGAAAGTCCCTCCACAGTCTTCGCACTCATAGCGTTTTTCCCCAGTGTGCATAATTTTATGTTGAATAAGGCGGGAATTATATTTGAAGAATTTCCCACACTCATCACATTTATGAGATTTCTTAAAAGCACTGGTTTCCTGCTTCAGATGGGGATGTGAATTTCCATTGATGTTCTCCACACATTTGCCTTGTTCACTGCTTCTCTGTTCTATAGGGATGGTCTGGTATGTAACGTGCTTTGAGCTCAGATGTAAGCTTTTCTCAGATGCCTTGTCTTTCTGTTCTGTCTTTATATTTGCTGTGTTCTTGGCTTTTCCAATCTTTTCCCTGATGCCACTTTTGTCTTCCATCATTCTTTTTCCCTCAGGCTTTTCCAATTGGTTCTCTACCTTGCTATCCCAATCACAAGTTTCACCAACCTTAGATTCCTGCATATGATCCTTGTGAAGACCTTCCACTTTTAGCCACAGAGATTCTGCATTTCCGACATTTTCACACTTTTCAGTTGATTCCTCATCCTCAGTGCCTCTCGTCTTGAAATGTGACACTAAACCAAGAAAATGAAAATACTTATTCACTTTGTTTAGAAGAAACTGAAAGAATTACATCCAAATTCACTCATTCACTCAAGTGTTTTAACTGCTGGGAAACAATGGTGGACATGCCAAAATTTCTGATGCTATAGGGCTAATGTTGAAATGCTAGAGCCATGGATTTTCAATAAAACAGAGAGCTTTTCTAGCATAGGAGTGGGGATGGTCCAGCCCATGGGCCACGTAAGTCCCAGAAATCATTTGGTCTGGCCCTCTCAAGGCATTAGGGGTGAGTTAATACAATGTTTGACTAAATATAGCAAGCTAATTTTGAAGTTGATAATTCTGTATGGCCCACAAATGATGTTATAAATATCCAAATGGTACTTGGCAGAAAAAAGGTTCCCCACCCCTGGTGAGGGTGAGTTAAAATGGGTTGAAATGATGTACAGAACCAGGGGCAACATTGATCCGTTTTTTAAAAATGACACCAAGTCGTGGAAAAACAAACAGAGGGTAGAAGAAATCTCTAAAAAAGAGGAGACAGATTAATAAGACAAAAGTTTAAAAGACATAATCAGCAGAAGACAGGCAAAACTAAAGAAGAGGAGAAATAGGTAACTGGAAGTATTAGGGAGGTGGTTATAAAATCATGAGGATAGTCATGTTAGAGATGATACAGAAAACAAGCCTGTTGGTTTGGCCTCCTGGACTTCCCCTCCAAGGAAAACTCTGACCTTGTAAAATGGCTAGTTAGGGTAGCCAGGGAGGAACTCCACATGGAAGAGGACACTCTGGCCTGCCAGGCAAAAAGACTTTCACTCCTACTTTACGAAGAGGCTAAATACAGTCAGAGAATATAAAAAATCAAAAGCAAAAACACAAACCATTAGGCAAAGAAAATCATTCCGCCTGGGTTCAGATACCTAGCTGTGTGTCTTTGAGAAAGTTATTTAACCTCTTTGTACCACAGCATCCTCATTGGTGAATATTAAATGAGAACATATGTAAAGTGTTGAGAACAATGTCTGTCACTTGGTGAAGTGCCATATGCTATTATTACTTATTTTGATATTTATTTATTTATCACATATGAAAATGCTCTCTTCACTAAGCTATTTTGATATTTATTTGAGGTCAGGTCATTAGATCATATTTGGAACCTGAAGATAAAGCACAGGACTCAGGAAAGGTAAATTCCTTTCCAAAGTTTAGGAGCCAGACAGTGTAACTTTGTCCCTGTGACGGTACTCTACACATAGCTGGCACTCCATCAGTAGCCACCTACTGACAAACTGACGCCTGAGAAACACTTCTAAGTTCCTTATCCCCCAACCTTAGACAATTAAACATTTGTGATCAGACTTAGTTAAAATATGGACCTCTCCTCTTACCCTGGGTATCAGACTCTTTTGGGTCAGTACTCTGGACTTCTGTCAGTCCTACGTAAGAAACTCTATATAAGGAGGAAGCAGAGGCAATAAAAGTGGACATGTATAAAGAATGACACTTATGATCCAACTTATGCTCATGTGACTGTAATGATGAACTCAATTAAAATTAACAGAAAAGGAAAAGAAGCTAGGAACTCAGAATATCACTAAAATAATTTATAGAAAAAACATCACTCAGTAGACAGTAAACCAAAGGTGGTTCAGCTGAGAAAGCTTCACAAAATGACACATGATGTTAGGTAAAAAACCTTCAGAGGTTCCTGAGAAATGGTGGCACAGCCTAGTTCCTTGCTCCATTTCTTTATACTTTGGGCAGAACAGTCCATGTCACTGGGTGAGCAGTGAAATTCCAGAATCATCAGCACCAACATCTTTGAGCTGTGCTCTGAATCCTGCTTCCACATACATCAGGGACTCTGCTCTATCCATTCCTTTTGGCCTTTATGTTTCTACAGACATAAAACCAAATCCCCTAAAATAAACACACAAAAATTGCTAGAGAAAAAACAGAAAAGGAAGAGCCCTGAGAGGAAGTAGCCATACTAAATATTAAAGTATACCACAGTCCCAGCCGGTTTGGCTCAGTGGATAGGGCGTCAGCCACGGATTGAAAGGTTCTGGGTTCAATTCTGGTCAAGGGCATGTACCTCGGTTGCAGGCTCGATCTCTGGCCCTGGTTGGGGCACATGCAGGAGGCAATCAATCAATGTGTCTTTCTCACTTCTTTGTTTCCCTCTCTCTCTCCCTCCCTCCTACTCTCTCTAAAAATCAGTGGAAAAATATCCTCAGATGAGGATTAACGACAACAACAAATACCATAAGCAAAATCAAGAAATGAATGACATGGAAGAAAACATTTACAACATACATCATACGTAAAGGCTAATACCCTTAACATATAAAGTATTTTCAAAAGCTGAAGAAAAATAGACTAGAAATCCTACAGAAAAATGGGCAAAAGATCCAAACAATTTACCAAAAGAAATATTAAAATGGCTCTTAAATGTGTTTTTAATTTCACTCAGTAGTAGAAGAATACAAATAATTAGACTAAAATACTAATTCTCCCATTAGATTGGCAAATATTCAAAAGTTTGACAATCTATTCGGTTGTGAGGCTGTGAGGGAAACAGGCACTCTTATACATTACTGGGAATACAAACTGGCATAACCTCTTGGGAGAGAAATTTGCCAATCTCAAACACAAGTATGTATGCATTTACACTTCAATCCAAAAATCCCATATAGGAATTTATAGTGAAGATACACTTCCAACAATACAAAAGTATATATGCATAGACTTATTCATTGTAGGATTATTTGTCTACAAAATATGGAAAACTACATGTCCACACACAGAAGAGTGGTTAAATAAGCTATGGTGCAAATACAAAACGGAGTACTAGAAGATAAGGAATAGCTTTATAATTGACCAATAAGGAGCAATTTCAAGGATATATTGTATAGTGATGTTACAGGGTTCCAGGGCAGGAGGAATAGGGAAACTGAGACAGGTAGAGTAAAACAAGACCAAATGGTGTGGGCAATTTGCAGCCAGCCTGTAAATAATAAGCCATTATCTTCCCCAGCCAAGGACACTTGAAGGCAAATGGTTAAAAACCTCCCTAATGAGAGAATGCAGAAAGGGAGGGACAAAGGGGAAGGGAAAAAAGAGGCTATTTTACTCCCAAAACAGAAAAGCCAGCAGTCTTAGGCTTGGCAAGATAAAGTTGCCAGGTGCTTCTCATGAATTCTGGGAAGGCCACAACAGAGTAAAAAGGGACCTTGAGAATTACTCTGCACCAAAATATTCAGCAGAAGAAATTTGAGACATATAGACAGGAGGCTATGTAACACCTTGGACCCCCACCCAACTCGCTCTTCAATGAGCTGAGAGCCCGCCTGCACTTCATGAGCCAGATGGATAGGTTTGCTGGCTTTGCTTCTTAATAAAGGTGCATGCTTCAGTAAACTGGCTTTTCACAATGCAACGATCTCTTGTATAAATTCACTTATATGAGAAAAGGATCAAAGTTGGGGACAGCCTTCTCCCACTGATTGAAGGGGCTGTCTGGTGATAACTCTAGTGTCAGTGAGAGGTGCCTCTAACAGTAAAAAAGCATATATGTCAACGTTTTGTTTAAGAAAAATAAGAAAACAAGCACGTATCTGTTGGTTTGTTGTTGTTTTTTTACAATAATGAGAATAGCCAGAAAACAATAAAGCCCATTAAACCTCTAAGGGGTGGGGAGGGTGGAATAGAGCAGAAGGGATAGGGGAGAAAAACACTCTATACACAGCTTTTTGTATAGTTTTTATTTAAATTTTTAAAATTTATTTATTTATTTATCTATTTATTTATTTATTTTTGGTTAATTCTCACCTGAGGATATTTTCCCATTGATTTTTAGAGAGAGTGGAAGGGAGAGGGAGAGACAGAGAGAGAATTATCAACGTGAGAGAAACACATTGATTGGCTGCCTCCACATGCACTCCCCGACTGAGGATTGAGCCTGCACCCGAGGTAACGTGCCCTTGACCGGAATAGAACCCAGGACCCTTCAGTCTGTGAGCCAATGCTCTACCCATTGAGCCAAACCGGCTAGGGCAATTTCAACTTCAGACTTGTTAAACTGAAGGAATTCTAATGCTTCTTATAGGTAGGACACCCAGAAAATGACTGATTTAATTACATTCATTTTTGCCACCCATCATCCTAATTGGGGAGGTGTCCAGGCTCTCCTGAATATCTTGCAAACAGCAGATGAAAGATTAGTAATAGGTAAGGCTACAGAGGAAGCCTACTGACTGCATCAGAAGAACCCAAATGGGACTCCAAACCCAGCAGGGACCAAGCCTCTCACTGAGCCAGATTGGGACCAAATAATGGAGGCCTGGTACATTTGGAGCATTAGAAAAGATGCATACTAGAAGGTTTGAGAAAGGTGTGAATATTATACAGGATGTATAGCAAAAGCCTGAGTTTTTAGAGAGGATCTATCAGGCTTCCTGGAAGTACAGGAACATACATCCCCAGGATGCTGAAAACTCACGAATGGTTAACATCACTTTTATTGGACAGAACGCCCTGGACATTAGGAGAAAGCTTCAGCGGATAGATGGAGTTCTAGGAATGAATCTGTCACAATTGGTGGATATAGCCTTTACGGCATTCCATGGAAGAGAAGCTAAAAATCAAAAGCAAGTGATGGTTTTCCTAGAAACTGTCCAGGGAAATCAGAAAAGAAATCAGTGGCAGGGAGCAAGGAAAGTAGACCACTGGGCTCCAACCAATGTGCTTATGGTAGGGAAGGACATTGGAAAAAGGACTATGCCAAGAAAGAAGAAAAGAATGCTCCTATAAAGGGAAACGGGGATGATCCCCAATGCATGATGGTTGTGTGCAAGAGAGACTCAGATGAGGAATGACGTGGGCCAGGAGCTCCTTTAGATACCTCCCCATCTATACAAATAATAGGTTAATATGCAAATCGGTCGGGACATCCTCACGCGTAACAACCGATCAGCTGGAGGCTGCGTGTACAGCAGGCGCGGGTGGGCGGGGACTTGCAACGTTGGGGATGGGGGCGGGGCCGCGGCAGAGGCCTCCAGGCACCTGCACCAGGGGTCCGCAGGCCTCCTCCCGCTCGGGCCTACCTCTTTGGGGCAATCCGAGGAACCCCGGATGGGTGGGCAGGGCCTACCTCTTTGGGGCAATGGATTGCCGGGCTCCTGCACTGTGACAGGGCACATGACAGGTTGGGGGACCCCCCCCCCGAGGGAACAAATTTTGTGCACCAGACCACTAGTCCAGTGATGGTGAACCTATGACACACGTGTCAGAGGTGACATGCGAACTCATTTTTTTGGTTGATTTTGTTAAATTTAAATATATAAAATAAATATCAAAAATATGTCTTTGTTTTACTATGGTTGCAAATATCAAAAATTTTTATATGTGACACGGCACCAGAGTTAAGTTAGGGTTTTTCAAAATGCTGACACGCCGAGCTCAAAAGGTTCGCCATCACTGCACTAGTCTATTATAATTTCCCCACAGGAGCTCTGGCTACAATTGACAGTGGGGAACGACTTTCTCCTAGACATGGGGCAACTTAGTTTTAAATTCTAAACTAACAAAAAAAGTTCAGCTACCACTGCAGTTACTGGGGTTATGGAAAAGCTACAACAGCAGACCTTCCTTAAGCCTCTTGAATGTCAACTTGGAGATTTGAAGTTCTAAGGAGATGCTCAAAAAAAAAATGATGGGGGCATATCATAGACCACAAGAGCCAGCTTGAATACCCAATTCAGGGTAATTAAGTACAGTAATGAATTATAAGCCATTAATTTAAGTGATCCTCCCAAAAAATATCATACCCATTCTAATAGTTATTAGAATATTACTGACTATATTCCCCTTGCTGCACATTACCCACCCATAAGTACACTATAACTACCAATTTCTACCTCTAAATCCCCTCACCTTTTTCACCCATCCTCCCAACCCCCCTCCCATCTGGCAACTGTCAAAATGTTCTATCTTTGAGTGTTTCTGTTCTGCTTGTTCATTTATTTTTATTTTAGATTCAATTGTTTGGTAGATATGAATTTATTGCCATTTTATTGTTCATATTTTTCATCTCTTTTCTTCTGCTATTTAAAGAAGACCCTTTAACATTTCATATAATACTGGTTTGGTGATAATGAACTCCTTTAGCTTTTTCTTATCTGGAAAGGTCTTTATCTGACCTTCCACTCTAAATGACAGCTTTGCTGGGTAGAGTAATCTTGGTTGTAGGTCACTGCTTTTCATCACTTTGAATATTTCTTGCCACTCTCTCCTAGCTTGCAATGTTTCCATTGAGAAATTGGTTGACAGTATTATGAGCATTCCCTTGTAGTAACGAACTGCTTTTCTCCTGCTGCTTTTAAGATTCTTTGTCTTTAACTTTTGGCACTTTAATTATAATGTGTCGCCCTGGCCGGTTTGGCTCAGTGG